TTTAAAAAAAAATACTCACACATCTCAATGGTTATTTTACACACACACACACACACACACACACACACACACACACACACACACACACACACACACACACACACACACACACACACACACACACACACATTTGACACAGTCAACATTTAATCAACTGTTGACCCATTTACTTTGACATTATAATGATTTATTTCTACTCTGTTTCATTTTAAAGACTGATTGGAACCACTGTGACACACAAACACACAAATCAGTAAATGAATGAGACATGCTAATGTTATACTGTAACATCAACTTATTCAATTTAGCCGTACAAAGACTCCAAATAATTGGACTTTTATTAGTCCGATCAGTATTTAACTTATAACTAACTTTGTCATCAAAAAGATCTTTCAAGGAAATAATTTGTCTATAATTTATCAAGATTTGTGATTGTAAAGTTACTTAAAAGGCTTTACAATTTTAGATATTGTCAGTATATTAATATTCTATATTTCAGCCCCCAATTTAAAGTATTGGATGAACCAGTGTTGGGTTCTGATAATTACACATAATAGCTCTACAAAATTGTGGGACTTTAATTTTTTCATGATAAGGTAGCCAGTGAATGCCTGCTACTGTAGTTTGAGATCCAAAGCTCTGCTTGAAGTCATAACTCTCGAAAACACTGCCATTACCTAAGCTTTAATCAGTGTTTACCATTCCAAATTTTAAGCCAAGTTTCCAATAATATCAGTTTATATAAATTCCATTTCAATTTTACCATCCTGAAATTTGACATTCCCTCCTACCCAACACATAGGTTTCCTGCCATGGTCTGAGGCAAAATCCTCTCCCTCTCTTTCTTTAATGGCTCTATATCTGCTGTATCTGTCCAGCGACTGCCAGAGGAGATGCCAGTGCTGGTTCCAGCCAACAGAATATCATGTGCTCGCTCTCCTCTGGGGCTCTATGAAGAATCGGTTTTCTTGAGTTGCAGCTGAGGCAAAGTTCAGGCTTGTTGTTGTATTGGATAATGATTGAGTAAATACACAATTTTACAAATAGGCTACCTAAAGTGCTGCTGGGAATAATCGGCTGGCAGAGAAGGGCTTGCCTGAGGAGCTCAGTATCGCAAATAAACTGAATAAATGCTTATGGAAGTATAAAAGGTGTAAAGTGGATGAGGAAAAGAGTTAGCATTTAGAGGTGTAGTATAAAAAATAAAATAGTAAAATAAAATAATTATGTGTTACTGTATTACCTTTCTCAATGACATGAGTAGTTATAGTCCTCTCTGCAAGGCAAAATACAATATTACATTAATACAATTTATAAAAAAGCATGTCAAATGTAATCTATATGCTGTTGATGATGTTATTATTTTATGTGAAACTTAAAGAGAGAAATCATTAATGGAGGATGAAATTTAACTTACTGATGAATGTTAGTGGAATCTCATGGTAGGTGTATCCAGATACAAACTACACACAAACCATAATAAAGATAAAAATAGAACCAACTGATAAAGTGATATGTGTGTTTGTTTGGTGATGTACTGGACTGTGATGGACCTGTTATATCATGTGAGATAGTGTACAGATATGATGTGTGCTCTGCTGTACCTTCAGCTGTATGTATCTGATGAGTCTCTTCAGCAGAAGAAATATGTCTTCACGGCCAACTGGCAGATCTGTGAAATGCAGTAAAATGATTTTTTAAGCTCTGGGGACTGTGTCTCCTGTCTCAGGAATTGTACAGTTATATAAGAGTGGAAAAACCAGGTACACTGAAGATAAAGACCATCTATGCAATTGATTTTGACTTAATACATGTAAAAATATTCTTAATCCCTCCAAAATGTTACATCTTAAACGCTGTTAGTAATATACCTTGAGGATATAAGATGGTCTTCACTACATGGACCACTCCATTGGATGTCATAAGATCAAAATCTGGAACCTCCACTGAATTTACATAGATGGAGTTGTTAACCTGAGTGTAACAGAAATATATTATTTTATACTTATTTAATACACGAGTTTCACAATTTGATGTGAATTACTGAAATAAATGAACTTTTCCACGACATTCTAATTTATTGAGATGCACCTGTATACAGTATAAGTTTTATAATAATTTAAAAAAATATATTACGTACATAAGTCTTCTCAAATATTTATGCAAGCCTTATAAAACCCTTTGAAACCCTTTAAATACAGACAAATACAACTGCAGGACATCGTATTAAGAGGTCACTTCCTTGTTTTGGCTCTGTTTGCAAGATATCTGTGTATAAAGTAATTTTACATTTACAGTGCTGATATCTGTTTTCTACAAAGGAAGTGTCTGGACATTAGGAGACCCATTGTTCTAGCTTTTAGAGGGAGTTGCAGGTAGAGGTGTTTCTGAGATTTGAATTATGAGTTTGATTGATGGCAACAAAATGTCTGGAAGTTATGACCTTACCGCTGTAGCAATGCTCCAAATTCACACACAAAATTGCCCTATTCCATAGACCTTCAGCTATACACAAACACAGAAAGAGAAATGTTCATAGTCCTAATTAGGATGAGATGTATGTGTTTTTTTATAATCAAGTCAGCTTCATACTCAATGTTATCATGCTGGTATGTTTCCTTTAAAGGATTTAAGTGAATGGTCTGGATTTGGTCAGACACAGGAAATTTGTGCTACGTCTAATTGCATTGTCTGACGATAACAACATGTCAGGTCCTTCCTCTCTTGTGCTACCAAAATATTAGTATTGGCTCAAATTTAAAAGTCACTCTTTCAGAGTTTTATTATGGAGTTTGCAATGTCTTTATACATTAATCATGTAACTGGAAAAGCTAATTATGGGACATCTTTATCATAATCACTGTTGGGATAAAGCTGACATTTGGAAATCTCTACCTTTTCACTAATTATGGTATTTAATCAGATAAAGTTGGTTTGTTAGTGCCTAAAAAACCTGACAGATAAAATATCCTATTTTAAAATAACAATTCCAGTGTACTTACAGACAGCACTTGAAGGTTGTTGCCCTGAATGGTCTTGAGAAGATTAGTCACTCCACCCTCCAAGCCTCCATTAATAAAGACACCATTGCTAAAGTGGTAGAGCAGGATCGCCCTTAGGCCGTTGATGTCGCCTGGATAACACAATAGTCATAATGTCACTGTGAGGAAACAAACCAATCAAAAGTTGGACATCATCTAAAAAATATAGAGGATAAAATGTTTACTTTTCAGAAGAGCGATGTCTTCCTCTGTCAGGGTGCCAAAGGCGGCATCGATAGGAGCAAAGAGTGTGTACGATCCTTCCTGCTTCAGTAGATCTGTCAGTTCAGCACTCTCCATCAGAGACAGGAAGATTCTGGAATAATTCAGCCATGCAGCCAATTAATTATTTGTACATACATACATACATACATACATAGTTGTAATTTTTATTTGAATGAATGAATGATGCATTTATATTATTTAATTTAATATTTATTTAATATTTCAATATCATTTTTAATTACATGCAGAGATTATCCTGTTAAATTAAGTGTTTTTCAGTGTATATAGTAAATTAACTTACAGTTAAGTTTTTCTGCAGCATTTTTTTTTACATTTTATCCTGTTACCTTTACAGTTTTACAGTTTAGTTAATAAAATAATATTAATCATATTAAGTCATGATGATAATCTCACTTAAAGCGTCCGTCTTTTAAGAGCAGGTCATAGATGGTTGTCTCGGGTGGCTGAATCAGTGATCGCATGAGATGAAGGACACCGTTACTTCCTTCTCTGCTGCCTCTGGCCATACATGCATTCTCAATACACACAGCCTAAAACACACACATAAAAAGGAGAATGAAATGATAGTTGTGCCTTGGACACTTTGCAGAGTATTGAAACAAATACAGTATAGTTAGACAAGGACATCTTTAAAGCCTATGAACGTATCTGAAGTAAATAAGAGTATAAAATGTAACTGCCAGCACAATAAACATTTAAAAAGTAGTTGTTTTCACTCATGTAGTTTATACAATAATTGTTTGCAGGTCCCCAATCTTTCACTAATTCTCCTTCTCTTAAGTCTTTCTCTCTCACCGTGCGATAAATGAAGACTCTGAGCAGTTTTCCTCCCAGGGTTTCGAGCAGTTGGCCATTGTAGAGGTCACTCAGAGAGACTCTGAGTTTCACAATTTGGTTTTCCAGAATAATTTTCAGGAGACGCTGATCCATGGACATTACCTCATCTGCATGACAGGTGAAGACACTAAGTTATTGTGACATTTTAACCATCCGTGTGTGTGTATGTGTTTGTCTCTCTCTCTCTCTCTCTCTCTCTCTCTCTCTCTCTATATATGTCCATATTGTATTAAATTATATATAAATTACATATTTTTTTAATTTTTAGAAATTATATATAAATGTATGATAATATAATTAATATAATGCTATATAAAAATGTATTATTTAAAATCACATCAAATGTATAAAATCAATTATTAATTAATAAATTGTTAATTATTGTAACTATACAATTATTATATTTATTTAAATATTAATTTATTATAAATAAATAAAAAATATAGTGCATATATATTTTTGTAAAAAAAAATTATTAGTTTATTCAGGCCTCCTCCAAAACAAAAAGAAAAGAAAAAGGAAAAAAGGAAAACTTCTGGTAAGCGTTCACAGTTATCTCTTCATGAGTCATGAGGTCAACTCACCAGAGAAGGCTCCATTCAGTGGGGCAAGAATAGTATACTCAGTCTCAGGCTGCATGGCGGCAGACAGGCCAAGCTCAGACACCATGTCACTGAAGATGCTCTGAGATTTGCCTATAAGCTCCATCACCTGCTTGGCTGCAAGACAAGATACACACTGATCACAACTGTAGATTTAGATGTTATACCAGTGACAATAAATTTATATTTGAATATATGCAAATTTATGACATATGTATGTAATTTTTAAAGTGAGCTGTCCCTTTAAGATAAAATAAAGTCAGACTGAACCCAGTGGGTAGTCTCACCTGAGTCAGGCATGAGCACCTGGTTGATCAGATGAATGACCCCATTGCTGGTGACAATGTCCTTCTTCAGCACCATCTTGATACCATTGACTGTGAGACTCTCACCATCACATCCAATCTCAATATTACTGCCCTCAAGAGTCCCATAGACGGAGCCTGCCATAATGGCCTCAGAGCACTGCACTGAGTTCAGGAGGTGGTACTTCAAAAGGGCTTGTAAAATAAATAGAACAAGAGAGATGGAGAAAGGTTAAGTGACAGATTGAAAGATAAACAGTGTGGTGACCTAAACTGTTGGGATGTCTTTATCGTCACAGTCCAGTAAGCATCAAGATAATGACCACTAGAGACAATTAAAAACACAGAAGCTCATGTTGTCCAATGGGACACCCGCCCAGTTCTTCCTGTGCGCAAGCAATGTGGTGGAGAGCTGAGACTCTTACGTCAACTGTGATATCACTTTCCCAGCAGCTGAGCTTATTTTGCCAATTTCCTGCATCTGTTTAAGCTGTACATGTATGTGCAGACTGACAACTTTAAGTGCTACACCGAACCAAAATTCAAATCAAAACCACCTTCTTAAGACAGGTCCTATTCATCTACACTTCTACACTTTACCACATGGGCTACTCGTTAACAGTCAGCTGTGGAGCACACATTAATGCACAATGGTGCATTGAGAGTGAATGTTGGCTGCAAAAGGGACAAATAGGACACTTTAGGGTGGTGGTTCTCAGTCAGGGAGCTGAGAACCAATAGATGGCCACAGCACACTTCCAAGGTAGCTCAAGATGACTTAAAATAATTTTTGTAAAATACAAAGCAAACTTTAAAATAAGCTAAAACGGTAAAAAATTTAGTTTCCTCAAAAAAAATAAAAAAGACATGCGTTTAATGATTCAAAATGTGAACGTACCAGTTTCCGAAATATTCCTATGAACGATTTATAAAATGTCTGTATAATCAAAAATGTTCATAAATGCATCTCTATTTTTAAATCTCCACTTCATCATAAATTTAAGTGTATGTATTATTATGATTATTGTTTTATGTGAGTAATGAATATAAATGAATTCATTTCAGTGATGTAATAATGAAGGAGCAGTTAAAATGTTGCTCATTTGTGCATATAATGAGGCCCCAGGTTCCCACATTCTTAGAAAACCTGGATATATGAGGGAATTTTCAAAGCATGATTTCTACATGAAAAAGTCAGGGAAATTAATAAAATCTTAAGAAGCCATTTCTATAATGATTAATGAATATATAATTTTCTAGTTATGTCAAGCTCTAAAATATTTTATTGGAAGTACTGCGAAATTGCTATTTATGAGTAAAAAAAATAAAAAATTTAAAAAACGTATCATATAATCACAAATCGTGAGGAACATTTCCTGAAACTGTTCTTGAAACTTTAAGCTTCATTACATTACAGTAGAAGTACCAGAAATACCCGGGCCTACATGGGGGGCCTTGGATTATTGTCTTGGACAGTCAATCCTTGGAGTCAAAAAAGTTGAGAACCACTGCTCTAGGGTTCTGTGGACATCATGTACACATGCGAGCAAAGTCCACGAGACCGCAGGTCCACATCAAGTGACTCATTTGGACAGGGCCAAAGATTCTGTAAGAGCCAGAAGTGATGTAATGCTGACATCTGTGTGGTCTTGAGGCATGAGGCATGCTGAAAAACAAATTTAAGTAGAAAAAATACACAAGAAAATCAGTTTTTGTCAGTGTGCTGTAGAGCTTTAAACCAGAATACTAATGCCTGATCTGCTCTAATGATTTGCGTTTTTTCACACGTCATTTACATCAGTCGGGTCTTGAGATAATTGGCCTCAGAAGAAAGTCTAGGTTACTTGTGTAACCCTCGTTCCCTGAAGGAGGGAACGGAGACGTTACGTCAGTCGTGACTGATGAATTGGGATCTCGCCCAAGAGCCCAATCACCTTCGAGTGTTAACTAAAAAAGCCAATGACAGTTGGCGTGCAAAAGCACAAGCAGACAAAGAGCTGGTCTGAGGTCCTGAAGCTCCGCGTACGGTCCACGTAAATGCGCAGAGTGCGAACGGGACAGAGCAGAGCGATGGCTGGGTCTGCCTCCTCCCGGGGCAGCGCTTGCAAGTTCACCACCTGATCCCTGAAAGGCGTGGTGGGAACTTTGGGCACATATCTGGGCCGGGGTCTCAGGACAACGTGAGAGTTACCCGTCCTGAATTCTAGGCACGAATCGTCGACCGAGTATGCCTGCAGGTCCCCTACCCTCTTGACTGAGGCCAATGCGGTGAGGAGCGCTGTCTTTACTGACAGAACCTTAAGCTCTACTGACTGCAGAGGCTCGAAGGGCGCCTCCTTCTGGGCTGTCGGGAGCGAGGGGAGATCCCAAGAGGGTAACAGGTGAGGGAGCGGAGGATTTAACCTCATTGCCCCTCTGAGAAACCTGATGACCAAGTCGTGCTTCCCCACAGACTTACCGTCTAGTGCATCGTGATGCGCGGCAATGGTGGCAACATACACATTCAGGGTGGAGGGAGACAGCCTTCGCTCCAACCCATCCTGCAGGAAAGAAAGCACGACTGCGATCGGGCATCTACGGGGGTCTTCCCGGCGGGAAGAGCACCAACCGACGAACAGGTTCCACTTCAGCCTGTAAGCGTGTCTGGTAGACGGGGCTCTAGCTGAAGCGATGGTGTTTACTACCGCTGGAGGTAGCCCACCTAGAACCTCCGCGTCCCGTCCAGGGACCATAAGTGGAGATTCCACAAGTCTGATCGCAAGGTGCCAGAGGGTGCCCCCTCTCTGTGAAAGGAGATCACTCCTCAGAGGAATTTGCCAAGGAGGGGCATCAGTCGCGAGGAGCATCAGTTCGGGGAACCAAGTCCGACTGGGCCAATATGGCGCTACCAAGAGGACCTGCTCCTCGTCCTCCCTGATCTTGCACAGTGTCCGTGCGAGAAGGCTCACTGGGGGAAACGCATATTTGCGTAGGCCCCGAGGCCAGCTGCACGCCAGTGCGTCCGTGCCGAGGGGTCCCTCGGCCAGGGAGTAAAACCACTGGCAATGGGACGTGTCCGGGGAGGCAAACAGGTCTACCTGAGCGTCCCCACAGCGTCTCCAAATCAGCTGGACTGTCTCGGGGTGGAGTCACCATTCTCCCGGAAGGGCGGGCTGACGTGAGAGCTCGTCGGCTGCACGATTGAGCTCGCCTGGGATGTGAATGGTGCGAAGCGACCTCAGATGCTTCTGACTCCAGAGGAGGAGATGGCGGGCGAGTTGCGACATGCAACGGGAGCGTAGACCGCCCTGGTGGTTGATGTACGCAACGGTCACAGTG